AGGAAGGAAGGAAGGAAGGAAGGAAGGAAGGAAGGAAGGGAGGAAGGAAGGGAGGAAGGAAGGGAGGAAAGAAGGAAGGAAGGAAGGAAGGAAGGAAGGGGAAATTAGTTCACTCCACAAACACATCGAGTGTCCCCTGTGTGTCTGAGGCAGGGAAAGGAGGAGATCTGCCTCTTAGTTTTCATAACAAAGAAGGACCTGGACCCTTCCAGGCCACAGGAGCCTCGGCCTGCACCCAGGACACAAGTGTTTACTAAGCACCCCGTCGGTCCCGCCAGGAGCTCAGGGACTAATGAGATCCCACCTCTGGGAGTCACTGAAGCCCAGAGGGGTGAGGGGCAGTGCCACAGAGAAGCCAGGCCTCAGCGGAAGGAGGGAGGGAGGGTGGCCAGCCCCAGGGAGGGAGGGAAGCCTCACAGGAGAAGGGCACACGTGTCCAGAATATTCCCTCTCCACAGAGAGGGTCTTTCTCTCCAAAGCACGCTGCTGCAGGCAGCATCCGTGGCCCACATAGAAAGAGGCTCGCCTTTGATCCAGCCTGAGATGTTCCCTTTTTTGTCTCTGCTCAGAAGTGCAGCCTGAAAGGAGAGTGAGGCACTGCCTCCTTTTGAAGTCACACAGCTGCTGCTGAGGCCCCAAAGAAAGATAAAAATTCACTGGGATCTTTCCCCAGATCTGCGTTGCTCTCACTGTAGAAGCTGTTTGCAACAATATTGAGAAAACACCTAATGCCCAGTTTAAATCTTCTTTAGAAGTTTGGGAGTAGGGGAAGGGAGAGGAAATTATTTTAGAATTCCGCTTCCCTGTGGCAACATCCAAAGACAAGAGAAACACAGAGAGCACTGGTGGGACCTGGGAGGAGGCAAAGATTTCTCCAAACCAACGCCTGGGGCTTCCAAGAACCAGATACTGGCTGCCACTTCAGGATCCTGGCACCCCGAGCTCCAAGTTCCACTTCCAGACATTTGGTGGCTTCCAGCCCTGGGCATGTCATTTAACCTTTCTGGCCTTGATGTCCACATCCACTTCACTTCGTAAATCTCCCTGCAGAGCCCACTGTACACCAAGGGCATGCCCTGGAATCCAGGCCCTGCCTCCGGGAGTTCCAATCTGTGTACGGGTGTAAGAGGCACGTGTCTCTATTCATAGGGGCTTATAAGGCTGGCGCTAGCCATGCTAGCATTCTGGAAACTTCTGAGAAGGGGCTCAAACATGTTCTGAGAAGAGGGCCCAGCCCCCTCTACCTGGCAGAAGTCAGGGAATGAGCCCATTGTGGGTTTTTAAGGTTCTGGGGGTCTCTCCCCTTGGCTGTGAGGCTTATTACCCCACTGTGGTGATGGACTGAAGACCCCCAGTGGGGATGGGGGCACACCAAGCTCAGAGACACAGCAGCAAAGTGGGGGCCTGAGAAAGCTGCCTCCCAGGCCTGCTGATCAGGAAATTCCAAACAGGAAAGGGTGATTAACAACTGCAGGAGCGGGAAGAGGGGAGAGGAGAGGAACAGGACAGGGAAAAAGACCCTAGATCCTGGGCCTGCCCGAGGGCAGGAGCCAGCCTGACCAAAGTGAGCCTAGAGGCCATACAGACACGGGCCCCTTCTGCAGAGCTGGCCTGTCAAGGGGGTGGGGCAGGGGCGGCAGCCTCGCTATCCCTGCCACACAGCCTGGGCCCTGCATGGACCTGTCCAGGCCGGTGAGGGGATGCTTTCTGACTGCTCTACTTCTGGGGAATAAGGACTCCTGGCCTTTCTCCATGCCCCAGTATCATCTGCAAGCTCCCTCCTAGCCCTCACTTTTTCTTTTAAGGAGAGTGACCCCAGAGGGCTGGAGTTCTGGGAGCCTCCAGAGCTTCTGTGGGTCTCAGTGGCTGGGGGGCGAGGGGGTGAGAACAGTGCTGGACTCAACTTTGCCTTTCCTGCGTCCGCCCAATGTCCCTGGGAGCCCAGGTGATCCTCACTGCCTCCTTTCCCTGTTCCCGTGACAAGCCACAGCCTGGCCTCCAAGCCAGCTTCCCCCCTCCCCTCCCCCCCGCCCCGTTCTTCTGGGGTCGCCCTCTTCTGCCCTGGACCCGACTTCCTGGAAGGAAGGCCGAGGCGGGAGAGGCTGACTGCAGGATTCAGCCAGCCCGGGACCTGAGCCTGGGCCCCCTCGGTCCACCACAGCTCCGATTTTTTAGTGTAGATATTGTATGTAAGTACAGCACATATAGAGAAAAGCGCACGAGTCCTGAGCGCACAGCTCAAATCCCACACTTATCACCCGAGCAGCCTGCGCAGAGCAAGGGCAGAGCGCCCCCTTGCGGTCACAGCCTGTCACTACTCAACCGAGGGTGCCCGCTGCAAGGTTAGGTCTCCCAGCCTGGTGCTTCATCCAGGAATTAATAGATTCCCACCAGGTGGTGTTTGTGAGGGGTAGATGGTGAGGATATCTGCAGCTGCAGTTTGCTCATTCTCATGGCTGCACTGCATTCTACTGTGTGAGCAGAACACAATTTATCCTTCCACTGCTGATGGGCATTTGGGCGGTTTGCAGTTTGGGGTCTGGCCAGTCCTGCTGCTGCTATGAGCATTCTTATGCCTGCCTTTTGGTGAATTCACACGCCTGTGGGCTGAGTATGTGCCTGGGGTTGGGATGCTGGGTGGGTGTGTTCCATTTCAACATTGATGGCAGGATTGTTGTCTATTTCACTCCCCGCCATATCCCCACCACCTCAAATTGTGCCTGGAATATCGTAGGGGCTCAGTAAATATCTGTTGAAATGAATTCTCTCAATCTCTCTCTCTGTTTTTCATTTGTTTGTTTGTTTTGGGGTTTTTTGGTTTGTTTTTTGTTTTTGTTTTGTTTTGTTTTTTGAGACAGGGTCTTGCTGTGTTACCCAGGCTGGAGTGCAGTGGCACCATCATAGTTCCAGGGGACCCTGGCTTGTCCCCCTCTGCCCCCAGCGCCCAGCAGAGAGCCTGGCACATGAGGAGAGTGAGGTTTGAGGGGAGAGGAAGGAGAGGACATTCACACCCCATGACTGGCTACCCAGGGCAGGACAGCAGGGGTCCAGGAAGGTGACTGGGAGAAGGAGAAGGACTATGGCCAGGAGCTGGGTTCCACTTGGAAAATGCATCCTGTCAGGCCCTAGCATCTGTCAGCACACAATCATGCGATGAAGGAGATGTTGGTATCAATTAACTTGTGTTCAGTGAAGGCCAACCCTGGACAGTGAGCAGATTACCTATGTCTGCCAGGCAGGGTGTGGAGGCGAGAGGCACATTGTAGCTGGATCCGAAAGCTGCTTATTGCACTCGAATCAGCAGCCGACGACGCCTCCCATTCAGGCCACCCAGAGGTCTGACCGATGACCTGCCCCTGCCCCAGGATGTGGGAGTGCCAGGCGAAATGCAGTCTTTGCAGCTGCAAGGGAGGGCTCCAGCCACCATGCTGGAAGAGGCTCACAGGGAGAAGGAGGCGGAGAAGGGATACGACCAGTGCTGCTGATTCTTAGTGAGCCGAGCCGTTTTGCCAGGTGGGGCCACCCTCAGAAATGAGCCAGCCCGCGTTTCCCCAAGTCAAGAGAGTGCCGTAGACATTGTAATGTGCACGGACCCGGGAGGAGGGCAGCGCCACAGCCCTGGCCACTGGGTCAAGGGGAAGGTGAAGTAGGTGGGGGCAAGTGGCCACAGCGCTCATCAATGCCCGCCCTATCACAGTAGACTCATCTGGACTCCAAGT